TCTCTGATGATATATAAACGGAAGTGCAGGAATTATTATCGATTATTATCGATTTATATTCCTAGCAAGATTCCAAAACAGAACTCTATCAATTATTTACAGACATTTATTTGAATTCGCGTGAGATGTGCAAGTTTGCATAAGAATCTTATATATCTTTCCAACATTTATCGATATCTCAATAATCGATACTATATACATATTTCGCGAGAACTGTCAAATTTTACGATACCATCATCGGAAGCGAAAGTTCTCGAGTCACCGCAAATACCGATACCTTTGTGAAGCGCATTGTTCTGCGCCGATTAGAAAGTCGAATACTGATAGTATGGCATTTACGAACACATGCACATCCTACCGTATCGTACGACATTTATTATTGCTAATATATATACGGCAGACTCGCAACATATCAGGATTGTCCGGGTAAGAACGGCGGCTTGGTAGACGCGGGTGGGTGCTCGTGTCGGGAATAAATTGTAAACGCGGACGCGAAAGATTTCTCCTAGGAACCGAGCCTCCTATTGTCTTCAAGTTCGGAGGCTCGTTCACTGTTGCATATAACACACCACAATCTACTTGCTTTCGAAAGAAACGATATTTTACCTCTACTTTCCTTATTTTCATTTATCTAACATCTTCAGGGTATCAGTGAAAAAAAAAATTGCTGCCTCTAATATTTAGATAATTTTTATGATTAATAAGCGAAATTATTCATATTGGTAAACTAATTCACGCAAAAATATAAAGAAGTCGTGATCGAGATTTTTTAGATAAATAAATAATAGGTTGTAATACATATTTCTTTAAATACGAATATCTATTTTAATCTTTAATAAGTTACATACGTATTTACTGGTAAAAGCTAAATATATATATGTACGAGAATTGATTGTTCTACAGTCTATCTAAAGTTTAAATTGTGCGAAACTTACACGAGTGCGGATTGAAAATTAAATTAAATTGATTGTTTCCGCGACCGTACAAAATTACCGCGCGTTTAAAGGAATTTGGCGTTCGCTCTCACGTAGTTTCAAATACTGTTAGACAGCCGCTGGACGGCGTGCGTTGCGGAAACTAATTGCACTCTAAAGCGTGTAATTAGGGAGGTCGATAGGGTCGGTTTTATTACATGCTATATTCCTACTCTCAACGTTTATTCAGTCAAAGTTATTTCTCTACGTGATGCTTTACAGTGTACATTAGAAACTATAGACAAATGTTGACTTCCGACCAGTAGCCCTATCGAGTTCGAAACGATAAAAGCTATCAGCGGTTAGTCAGTGATATACTTTCTACTTCTCCTTTGTACACACAATACGTAGGCGTAGCAGTATCGATTTGTTTCATATGAGGTGCTCTTTTGTAAATACGATTCGCTCTTTTGTTTTTCAATTTGCGTAATATATTGCACCATATTTTGTCTCCGGATAAAATATATGTACAATATTGTGTATCCAAGATGTTATAAATTTAACGCCCTAACGACTGTATTTTTCCGTTGAATATTTCGATACTACTACTACATGTAATTCTTTAGATGCACTATTGCATAAATGTATCTATAACTGGATATTCATTAATTCAATTTTCTTTCTTTGTATAATATAAATAGCATTAAAGATACAATAATCCAACATAATTTTGTATGTGTAATATAAATTTTACAAATAATAAAAGTTACACAATCTCGACTTTCTATCATTTAAATTATGGACGATACCGAGAGATACAGATTAATTTTTTTACATATAATTAAAAATGTTATCAGCTATAAATAAATGTTAAAAAAAACATGTCTTACGCCATTGTAATCGGGTCAAATAAAGCGACCATGCAGTATGCAACAATGACAAAATCGAATCCCAGGCCCCAGGCAATCGCGGACGATGTCTCGAATTTCGATGCAAAGCTTTTTTAATGCGGTTTTGCTCGTGCCGTGCTCGGGCCAATCACGTGTGGCAGGCCGTCGAATCCTACCGCGAGGTCCTTCGCGTTTATCGGCACAGGGAAGCGCAGCCGGTCCCCCCGATAAACCGTATGCGCCGGAGAGAGGAGAGTGCACCGTATTATAATGCCATTGCAGACGTGGCATTAGCGTATCGCCCGGCTGCATCTCGATCCCTTCGACCGTTCCGTTCCTTCATCAGTTACTTTGTAATCCCGTGCGCGCGGATACCACCTTCGGATACCTGCCTCGGTTACCGGAGATTCGTGGTCCGATGTAAATAACGGGAAGCGACTTCCAACTCCTCTTCTGATCTCGCTGCTCCCTTCCTCGACCGCGACCCGTCGTCGGTTGCGGAATATCTTCGGGGTACGCGCGGCGCCCGTCGACATGATTTCGAACTCGACGGCTAGACAGTTTATCTTTACCTGTGCTAGAGCGTCGATAATTTCCATCGAACGATAATCGGACCCCTCGGGCGAGCAAATTGCATTGTTCGTGCCACACTATCGGAACGTTCTCAGATATTGTCACAATTTGTGGATGCTCATCTTGAGATGTGGCGTAAGCTTTGATATATACTCTTGATAAATATATTCGATTCATTGAATCATATATAAGGTGTTTCGGTTACAAGATTTTATTTTTTTAAAATGAAGGAAATATTTATCTTCGATTTCTTTAAGCTATTAAATATTTTTATTAATTTATTATAAAATGACAGTATATATCGATGGAGTGATTCAGGATAACTACTCGTCGAATGCGTTATATGCGAACCTCGATATTAATTACTGCGGAAATGCTAATTGGGCGTTTGACAACCCTAATTTCCTGATACGGTTATTAAATGCGCCACTCGTTACAACCCCGTTGATCGAGGATTGCGTACCGCGAACGTGCAAACTCGTTAACATTCGGCTATTATAACGTCACGCTACGTCACGTGACGTTACACTCTATTTTAATATTGAATTTTCCCTATTATGCGCGAGCACCCTTTTTGACGTTTCGTTGTATTTGAGGGTTTTGTTAATAACTTGTAATCCACTTGTAATCCATGACAAATTTTCTCGATAACATTATATATACGTTTTAACATTTCATTATAACGAGGGTACTTTATTATCCTTAACAGATTGTGTCACTGGCTCGTATAATTCTCTTCTCATGATAAAAATACGAGATATTGTTTAGAATGAATTTATCTATGCTTTAGCTGTGCAATTTGCTATAATGAAATCCGCAGACACGCTCGCTCTCTTTTCACCAAATGCGAATGTTTGTTTTATAGGAAATCCATTTCGAAATGATTATTAGACTTCACAACGTTAAATTTTCACTTCGATTGGCGTGTAAAAACGACAAACGTCATATTCATCACGCTGCAACAGTGAAAATCTCGTATCGCTCGTTGTTAAAATAATCCGAATCGTTTATGAATGCCAGCCGTTATGGCGAAAGATGAAGCCGTCAATACGCTTTTATCGATTCCAGATAGTTAGGGTAGTAGGATTCGCGTGCACGCGGGAAACCGTATGGGGGTTTCAGCTGTGTACACATCAAAACTAATCCAGTATATCCATATAACTCATACAAAGTCGGCAATAAAAATATAATGCACGATAATCGCGTGAAAACATATTCTAAACTTTCTCTTTCCCTCTCTTTCTCTCATCTTGCGTCGCTGACATTTTTATTGGCTACTCTTATACAAAGCCTATTTAATAGAATTTAAATCTTTTTTATTATGAATAAAAAAAAAACAAATTCTTACATAATACATAATCTTTCTTTTAAAAGTAAAAAAGATACAGACATAACTCTTGCGCGATTTGTCATTAACACGACAGCTAGTTGTCCAATGTGGCACATATATTTCCCGAAACGATGTAATTACAAGCGTTGTTATCTTGATTTCGAGACGAGACGATGAAGTTCCCTTGGGAAACAGATCGCCTTTCGAGATCTGAATTCGAGTATCGGTCGAGAAACCAGCGGGTTTCCGAGAGTTTGGGCGACAAGATGTTAACACGTGTGTTCTCTCCCACGTGTTGGAGCCAGGCCGAGCGAGACGAGGTGACACGATGTAATCTGAGACAGCCGAGTTTGACTCGAACTCGCCTCGAAGGAACCAACTCGCCTGCCGCGGATTTTGCTTTCCTTTGCTTTACTTTGCTTTGCTTTACACGAACGGCCGCGGGGAGCGCGCTCGAAGGATCTGTCTTTTACACACGGCAGGATGCACCTTGACAAAAGAGCAAAGTGTCACGAAGCCACGACCGAAGGGGCCGGTGTTGGGAATTTGCGTGCAATTTGTGCATACCGGTGAAGCATCTGCCCAAGCGAGAGCGTCATTCGTCCGCACATCAAAGGGGACACCGTAATAAAAAATGTATACGGATGCTGCGTCAAAGTGTATATCTGGTTGTTATATTAGTACGTTCCGCGTGTATCTCTTTCGTATTAAATTGTATGCGTGACGTGCAATTCATCTTACTTGATTGCCGACAATTTTACAACATCATAAGAAAGACATAAGTCGTTTTTAATTGAAAAATTCGCATATTACGCACGAAACATTTATACAGCTTTATTATTATCCTTATTGAAATAGCCGAATTTGTAAGAAATAGCTTAGAGAGCAATGCTGGATCAGCGAATTTTCCGTACGTTTAAATAAGTCGGGATATAAAATATATCCCTTTCACACGTGTCTTCGACGAATAGACAATGCCGCGCGATGTTGGTTGTTTCGTGAGATTCGTGAAACGGTGATGTGTGGGGGTGATGTGTAGCGTTGAAGAATGACGGAAGGTGAGACTACGCCTGGATCGTGCAGAATACATAAAGAGAAAAGGACGTTCCTATCTCCAGTAGTGTTAGCCAAGATATGCAGACACGCAACACGTGACGTTGCAATTTTTTCTTTCTTTTTTTTTTTGCAACCGACTAAATCGACCGACGCGAATCGCAGTTTCTTTGCTTTCGAAAAATTACCAATCAAGATGGAATTTGTACGGTAACACGTGAATACTATCGAGATGCTCTGGAGCGTAAATCTGCAACGTTGCATCATAATTATTCTTTCTGGCAATTGCGGTTTCCTTTCGCTAATGACACGCTATTGTCCGCAGCGAAGTAATGCGTGATATGAATAATGATGTCATGAGAAATGATAAATCAAATAAGGAAAAAAATGTATTTGTGTTTGTTTAATTTCTTGGATAAAAGTTCGAAATTGAAAGATATTGTATACATTTATTATAAAAATAGCACGATTGCACGATACATATACGATATTATATAATTATTCGCGCAATACAATGATCCTTTTATAGTAACGCGTAATCATTTCCTATGAATCACGCAAATATTTGCAGTCATCACTTCCAACGTGTGTATATCAAGAACGTGCTTATTTTCCACGCAATCGCCTGCCTTCTTCGAACGCTGCTCTTCTTATCGTTATCGTTCGCCGTAATTATTACATTGACATCAGCGCGATAAACGAGAATGACATCACTGTAACGCGATGAAAGTGAGAAACTAAACCTCTGAAAGAGAAAAACTACAATAGGAATCGGACATTAACATTGTTTGTTTGAATGAAACAGATAGACAGGCATGAGAAAAGCTGAGTCGAGACAGCTAAACAAACATTCTCATTTAGCTAATTGTAAGTGTAGTCAATCAACAATATGCACGCATGCAATGTGCGCGTGACGGGTCTTGCTCGCGTGCGAACACAACTCGCAAAACTTTCAGATCACTCTTGCATTTCACACTTACAATTAGCCTATGAATACTCGGCGCACAAATGCTTGATTCATTTGGATTTTTAACAAAAACGGCGAATTACTTAACTATCCATCAGAATTGGATACAAAAATAATATATCTAAAATAGAAAATAAAAATATTTGCGTATAAACTATTTTTCACATTATCTTATAGTTTATATGCAATAATAATTTATTTATATGTCGAAAATAAAATTTTATTGCATTTTTAACTGATCTTAATCAGATGTAAATGTTTCAAGTACAGTCTCTTGGGCTATTGATACGATTCTTTCATTTTCGTAAAAATGCTATCACATTCTTGCTATTATTAGATCTTGCGATCTTGCAATTTGCACGATGATGAAGCGATTCAGCTCCGATCGTGAATGATTCACGTTGTGCCTTTTCCTCTCGATCTCGATCGAATCTTTTATGGTTGGGCACACGAAAAAGAAATGATAGCGCCATCACGATCACGGACATCGAATGACGTGCACGTCACGCGTCATAATTGAATGATTATTGTTAACCGTAAATGAGTAGCCCTAGGAGGCATCCATAACAGTCATTAGATGGTGACTGAAAAATTCTTCGCGTCAATTTCTCGGCGACTGACAGAAGCTGTACACGTTTACGTCGCGCAGCCTGTAATTTTCATCATCGTCGAGAACGTCCTCCTCGCTTTCCTTTATGCCTCCCTTCAGCACCTTCACCCCCACATGCTTCACACACACACACGCACACAAGGTCATCTTAAATCATTAAATTATCGTTATCGTCTCCATATAAAAGCCACGTCCCGTCTTCACGGAAACCTCGTTTTTTTTTCTTCAAGATTTTTCCGGACTTCCTTTTCTGCGTCATTATTTTTATTCTTTTTAAGAGGTGCAAAGAGGTACTTTCATAGCAATCAAGGATGAGCAACTGTCCGCGAATGAACTTGCGGTAGCAAATCGTTCTTTGTTCGCGAGGAAGGTTTCCTCGAAACAAGCCGCACATAGGTTGAGAACGTGACGTCTCAAGGTTGAAGTATGCGTGTCGCGTCGTGTCTCGATACGCTTAAATAGTTTCCCATCGAGAACGGAAAAATCTAATTGGTTATCGGAAGCCATTACGACGGATACCGATTGATTTTATCCCTCTAATTTACGCAATTATATATCGCATTATTACTCGTTGTCGCTACAAGACGAGAATATATGTAACGATATGATTTAATTGAGCGTGAAGCTTAATTAGCGTTTATAATAAAGTTGATTAATCTGGTTAGCTATGAAAATTTTTGCGTTCTATTCTATTTTTATATTATCAACTTATTTCTCTCCGAGCTTCGTGATCTACTACTGAATGTAGAGGATGCAGCTTTGGATCTAAATCTTTTTTTTCTCAGTCTGTGGCTAAAACATAGTGGCGTATCGACTTTTACGGCCACCGCCTCACCAATTTTCGCGTAACACAAATCTTACCTGTCTTACTTGTTGACCCTCGAGTGTCTGTATTCGCCAACTATTCCCGCGGTTCATCGGAGATACGCACGTATGCATGCAAGATATATATTATATTATATATTGAATGTTATTTCTTTAGCAAGAATTTTCTAGGATTTTTTTCAAACTAAGTTTTGATGATGATCGTGCGGACTTTGTTCCGATAAGAATATATTTCCAGATTTAATAATTGTGTGTCTCTAGATATATAATACTACAAACCAAAAATAACTGTGTTAAATAAGATTAAAAATTGTACGATATATTAAAGCATCTCTTCGCCTCTGCCATGTATATAACTCATGATGTTTTTCGTCTAAGACTTACAGAAGCAAAATACTAGAGCTCTGGATAATGAATCCGTATGAAATGCTTCAGATGTATCGACTCTTGTACCTGCAAACAAAAAAGAGAAAGAAATCAATACCTCGTTTTTCTCTCCTTCGTATCATTCGCCCTTTTCTTTCGCCCTTGACTCTGACTCGCTCTCTACTTCGCGTCTCGCGGTTTTACTCGTCTCTTTACATACCGCGTTCACCTACCCATTGGACGTGCACCAACAGATGCAGGCACGTATATATATGCACGCAGGAATTCGCAGACACGGCGCAGCGATAGTTGATTAAACGTTGTTTTAATCGTGAATACCGAGTTTCTGTCAAATAAGATCTTTCGTGTTTGTTATTAATCGGTTATTATTTGGACCCCTCATAAAAATCGGTAAAGTGTCGAGTGTTACATGTGACAAAGCAAGGCGTGAGGATGTAAATGGAATCAGTTATGACGGCCGGAAAGATTCGGTCGCGGAGATTCGTTTTATCTCTGTTGCTTTATCTTTGATTTTATAGCTTGACGACGTTAAGCGTAGCTGATAATGTTATTATCGATCTTCTTTTATCTCCGCTTTATGAACGAGAATGATATTACTCTATCTGATCTACAAAATTTCTCGTCAATTTAGAAATAAATTTTATACAAAATTTCTTAAGAATTACTTTAGACTCTCTATTTTTAACATCTTCAGGATATGTCAATTTATTTATTTACTTTACTTCAAAGTTACAATAAATGTCATTCATTTATTAATTTATTCACCCGAAATTTAGAACTTTTATGATAGATTAAGGAACAGAAACGGTGAATAATTTCGTTCCGCGATCTTGCCTGAGGGCGTTTCTTATAAAAATCTTTCAAAGTAATTTTGCGCGGTTTTATTTCTCCGTGCATAACGACACGCAGGTGCGCGATCGATCGGCGACTCTACGTCTCCGCGTTCGTATTCCACGCGAGCGCGAGCGGCACCGCCGACGACGTTAATTTCAATGGGTTTCACGTCGCTACTTCCACCCCCGATGACCTCCTGAAAAGTAATCTCATGCCCCATAAACTTCGCGGATTCGCGCGCTGAGCTTCGACGAATTTACGACGTCTGAAACCGGTGATTTGGGTGCCTCGTCGCGTTACGGCATACCGACGATTTCCTCTCGGAGAGAAGGAAGGGTATAGTCGAGGAAAGACCGCATACAAAGAGGGGCATTGCTTCTTTATCCTGCGATATACACATATGTTCCAGAAATAACGCCACATCCACGGGTCGGCTGGTTCATCTCTTCTGTTTCATCAGAGGCCCCGCGCGTATTCCGGCTTGAATCGCGACTAAGTTTGCTTACCTTTCGCCACAACTTGCACCGCGTGTCTCTTTCATATATTTCACTCTCTTTCGTGGAATATATCGTCCGTTTACGAACCATATGTGTATACATTTAGGCGGCTACACCGCCTCGATGCATTGCTGGAAACCATACTACTGACATGTCGTGTTTTTCGTTGAACGAGGCTAACAAACCGTTTTCGGGGAAAAAATCGTGTGGTAGTAACTGGGTGGTAACTTTGATATCGTTGAGTTAAAATTTCGAATCATTTTGTTTCTATGTTTGTATGTATTGCTATATATATCAATATTTTGCTCCAATTTAACATTTATAATATTTATGATTGAGAATGTCTTTTATACATAAACAAGATTGCAAGCGAAGGAGAAAGAGCTACGAAATATAATGCATATATTTGAAGAAAGTATTATTCATTTGCGAGCGAATTTATTCGAGTGGGACAGTAAAAATCGCATCTATATCCGTAAAAGATTATAGCGAGCTGGCAGAGAATCGCGCTCGACTCTTGAATCGCGTTTCCGGCGCGCAATCACACTTTTCCTGGCTATTACACTTCATTTCCTTGTCCATCTCGTACGCCTGCACAAAGCGGTCCTTTTAAGACTCGCGCGTTTACCGCATTGGCTGTACGGCCCGGATTTGTATAGACTTTAAGAGCGCGGCCGTGCCCGTAACACGGCGGTGTCAAGTCCCCGCGCACAAAGGGGAAAAGAGAGAGAGAGAAAGAGACACATGCATACACGCGCGGCCGACGTGAGAGGAGCAATAAAGCGAACGGCATCCTTCTGTGTCCACAAAGGGTGACGGATTCGATCCTCTCGAAACGAGCAACGGACCGAGATGTGGCCCTGTCGCTTCCGCCGTCGCCGCGCCGCCCGAGTTTTTACTTTTATTGCGGCCACAGAGAGGCGACGTTAGCTCGGCACGACGGGCCCGGGGGCCCTACTTTCGTGTAAACTCGTGTGAAACGACGCTTTATTGGTTTATTTTTAAGACCGCGTGCTCTCTCTCGCGCGCGCAACTCGCGTGAGCGCGGCGCGAGAAGCAGCAGTGCCGTAAAACTCGACATCGGGACTAAGCTCGACGTTTAGGAACTAACCGCAGCTCGACCGGAATGTCTTTTTTTTTATAATGGTCGTAAGAGCCACATGCGTGTCCATCCGGGGGCCGAGTGCGCGTAAATATTCTGACGCAATGAACGACGGAATGAACATCCAAAGGAATAACGAATTATTTCACTCGTCCAGAGATCGTGTATCTCGAAATTTGCTTTCAAATTCTTAGCCATTCGTACGCCCAATCTATTCCCGTAATTCTACTTTATGTTCCATAAACAGAAACGAACAATCTAAGTTTGTGATATCGAGAAAGTATTTTAATTATTCTTGTCGCGGAAAAAAATTATTTGAAATCTTTAACGAGAAATATATATGTATTTCTTTGCTTCGCGCCCAGTTGCATTCCTTTCGAGCGACCTTTCGAGACTAATGCAGATCTAAGATCGCCTAATGCCTCACAGGGAACATCGCTGGATCCTTATATAGAAAAGACGTTTAATTAACATTTCCCGATGACCGCGGGCGGCCGCCACGCCGACTGCCTCACGTCACTCTCGTTCGCGCGCGTTCACGTCAACGCCAGAGATTGCTCAACCTCTCGATCTCCTGCCATCGGCGTCGGCTTTCAGTAACGGCGCGCGTTATACTTGGTATCTAACTGAAAGTGTCATGGGAAATCATATTCAATTTTACGTGCTTAAAAGGACAGATACATAGTAATAGTGCGATAATAGTAGTACTCTCTCGCGCGTATTCATCTCCAGCTGTTCTCGGTGGCTTTGACGTTTGTAAAACTCTCTATGCTAAATTTGATTGTTGCGGTAACTTTTTTCCTCGAAAAATTTACGCCATTGTATATCAGAGATAAAGCAATCGCTAATCTGTTAGCTGAACCTTTTCCCACATTTAGATATTCTCTAATGCGACGTGGTTAATTGATATGCCATGATGTTCAATATAAAATGAAGTACTTAAAGTCAGCGTGCGTCGGGTTCTCTCGCGAGATAAATATAGCCCTGTTCGTTACCGCACACGGTGACGATAGAAAAACGAACGTACGAACAGCCATTAAGACGTTGCGTCGCTTAATAAACACACCGTTGCTACTCGACGGACTAAGCAATTCGCCGAGAGTAGTTGGCGAGGCGCGGCGAACCATGTCGTAACCCCGTCTGCGACTTCATCTGCTTTCGGTAATGCCAGAAGTCGCCGTGGAAGTCTTGATAGAGAGAAATAACAATGATCCGCGCTGTGTGCAACTCGCAGGCAATCAGTGTCAATCACGATGATTACCTCCGAGGGTAATTACCGATCAGCTCGAGAGAAATTTGCAAGTTTCTCGATACGCGTATGAGTCGGCAAAAGTTCGATACATAGAACAGTACAGCATCCTTTGTTAACACAGGGTATATTCGTATAATTTGCTTGCACAGTAACGCAATATGTGATGCGTGCACGAAACAAATTTATAAAAATACAGATGAGATCGTACACGTGTAACTATTTCTCTTATATTTCATTCCTTTTAGTCCGAGATATTTTGCTTTATATAATATATTATTTAACATAATACGCTTAAACGTTATATTATATTTACGTCAATAATATTCTCAGAGATTGTACTGTGTGCACACACACACAGACAAATGTGTGACGTAATGGACGCATTATTTCATCGCTTGCGACACGTTTACGAGAATTTCGGAGTAACTCGACGTCGCGTTGGATGCAATAACTTGCAATCGCGAAATTCATATTACATTGGCGTAATGTTATTTTGTCGCAAATCTATTAAACGTCGTGTGTGGACCATTGGAGATGGATGACATTTAATTTCCTCCACTGCGAGGATTATCCTGTAATTCAATTAACTATGTAGCTATAGATAATCTTGCGCATCGTGTAGCGTTGTAATCATGCAACGATCTAAAATATTTCCCAACTAATAATCAAGTAAAAAAAAGTAAAATACAGAAACGACAATTTTAAAACATTATAAAATATTTTGAAACTATCGATATTCGCTTTTTACAAAATGTTGTAGAAGAACTCCGTCGATTTAGAAAACATTAATGACGAATAAACAATAGCCGAGTCGAAATAAAGTATTTTCGGAGTCAAAGCGATCGATTGTCGAGACATCCCGCCTCGCCGTTAATCAACTAATTCAACCGCCGAATTTAAATTGTACCATTGGCGCGTATACGTTTGTCCGTCCATCAGGCTTTCGGTAATCGCGCGTGTCAGCAGATTATAGGATTCCTACCGATATTCAGCGCTTGTACAAGCGGAACCAGACATTATGGTAAGTGCGTGTTCTTCGTTCACCTTCTCGAGCCCCGATATCGCACCTATTATACGGATCCTGGCCGACAAGAGAAACGAACGAGGGCGAAAAATCGGCGTGAACTTTAGTGCAGAAGGATCACTACAGGTGTATTATTAAAGAGAATTTATTTGATAAGGGTTGTGTAAGAAAATCGATAAAAGTATGATTATACACATATTTAACTAATCAATAATACAACTCCATTCAAATATAAGATGTTAACTCTTTCATAATTTATATAAGATTATTTTATTCATGATTATTTTTCGACGCTAGAAAATAGCTAACATTAATAAACAAAATTATTATGCACGAAAAATTTAGCAATTCTTATGA